AATATAATTTAATTTTTTTAACTTTTAACGAAGGTATCTGTCGTTTTTCAACAAGCCCAATGTCCCCGTCCTTTTGTTTTTATACTGATCACAAGTTCGATCTTCTCTACGTTCGTTCTGAAACACCTGTCCTGTTTTCTTTGCTTGCATCACAATTGTGTTTTCAGAATCCTGATGAAGGCTCCATAGAGAATGCCGAAAGCTTGATTGTATCGTCAAAAGAGTCAACATAAGCCTAAAAGTTTTGCCACTTTCCCAATTAACAAGTAATTGTATTTTGTACCCTATATACAGGGTGTTTCAGTTTATTGTTGCATAACTTTAAGATTCGATAGAACTTTTAAAATTAATGCATAAAGTCTATATAAACATGGGTCGAAAAATGCGTGGCTTCCGAAATACAGGGTGTTTAAATTTACTTTTCTAAATAGTTTTTTTTAAATATTTCGAACAATATTTGATGTATAACAGTAAAAATTGGTTATACAAGGGTTTTTTGGTACCGAAAAAACAAACCATGGGCATAGTTTTACTGTAGTCGCTAGAGGTCGCTCTCTGCTGTACCTGTAGTGTATTAAAATGACCGAAAAAATTTTCTTATTGCAATTTTTGCTTTTTGAATAAAAAAACTAAATCTTCGCACTCTTAAAAAAGCTCTCTTGTGAATTTTCGTTGTAGTTAGCCGTTTTTGAGATATTTCTATTTCTAAGGTTCGATGCATTTTTAATTATTTATGATAAAATAACATTAAAAAGTCAGTATCTCGATAATTTTTAGAAGTAGGCTGTGCCTGCAAATATGTTTGAAATTGAAAGCAGAATAAGGTTAAACGTCAATTAGTTGACAGTTAGTTTTGTTGTCTGTTGAAACCTGAAACGTTTTTTTGCAATTGTGAATGCACGAAATTTAGTTTCTTTTACCTGTTTTTTTTGTAGAGTTAACGGATATTCATTTTGTGTATGGCTTTGTAAATGGAAACGTAGCAGAAGCAGCCAGAGAATACGCACCAAGATTTCCAAACAGACGACATCCAACTCGCTCAGTATTTGTAAGAGTGCATCGGCAAATAATTGAAAATGGTTTTTAAATCTCCAAAGGGATCAAAACATAAATGTTCGTCAGCGCAGATTTACCCGTATGATTCTGCGTGAGTTTGATAGAGATCCGACCACAAGTGTTAGGAGAGTTTCTGGTGCCTTGGGAATTTCAGCAAGCCATGTCCGTGTTCTTAGAAATGACCATAGACGTCCTTACCATTTGCAACCTGTGCAAGGACTACAGCCAGGGGATGGAGAACGAAGAATCACATTTTGTCAGTGGATTCTTGATAGGACTGATAATAATAGGGAGTTTTTAAGTAACGTTTTATGGATCGATGAGTCATGCTTCACTAGACGTGGAGTGGTAAATTTTCATAATCAACATATTTGGTCGCATGGAAATCCGCATGCAGTTCGGGAAAGAAATTTTCATCATGAATTTAGTGTGAACGTGTGGGTTGGTATCTACCGTAAGCGACTATTTGGACCCTACCTTTTGCCTGCAAGGTTAAATGCTGCGACCTTCTTGGAATTTTTTACAGGCTGAACATGCAAATATGTGGGATGATGTTATGTTAAATTTAAGAAGATTGGCCTGGTTCCAGCTTGATGGTTGTCCAGCTCATTATTCGAGAATAGTTAGAAACTGGTTGGACGAAAATTATCCAGAAAGATGGATCGGCCGTGGAGGACCAGTCGCCTGGCCTCCACGATCCCCTGACCTAAATCCATTAGATTTCTTTGTGTGGGGATTTCTAAAAGAAAAAGTGTACCAGACTCCCGTAACCACAAGAGATATGCTAATAAACAGAATCAGGAATGCATGTGATGAAATAAGGCCTTATTTGAATAATGCTATACCACGTTCGATCATTTGTAGATGTGAATTGTGTATTGAACAATTGGGTTTACATTTCGAGCAACTACTTTCGATTTTGTATGTTTGTCCTAACTATCCAATAGCATTTTAGTTGTAAATAATTAATTTAATTTGTTAAAAACAATATTGGAAAATTAAACAAATTAATATTCTGTTTTTTGTGTTTATTTGGAGTTAGGAATTATTGCTGTGTTCAAAAACACAATCAAAACGATCATCTTAATTACTTGTAATGCCCAAATCGAAAATGTAAAAAAAATATTATTTTCCCATAAATAATTAAAAATGCATCGAAATATCTCAAAACGGCTAACTCACAGGAAAGCTTTTTTATGCAGAAAAGTGCGAAGAATCAGCTTTTTATTCAAAAAGCAAAAAATTGCACGAAGAAAAATTTTCGGTCATTTTAATACACTACAGTTACAGTAGAGAGCGCCCTCTAGCGGCTACAGTAAAACTATGCCCATGGTTCGTTTTGTCGTACCAAAAACCCTTGTATACCAATTTTCACTGTATACATCAAATATTGTTCGAAATATTCAAAAAAAACTATTTTAAAAAGTAAATTTGAACACCCTGTATTTGGGAAGCCACGCATTTTTCGACCCATGTTTATATAGACTTTATGCATTAATTTTAAAAGTTCTATCGAATCTTAAAGTTATGCAACAATAAACTGAAACACCCTGTATATATACATAAAAAGTATAGCAATCAAGCAATCGCAGATTTATATGTACGATGCGGGATATTAATGCACAATCTGGCAACCATGTCGCACCCTCAAAAAATGGCCGCTGACAACCATACAAGTCACCGTGTTGCCATTGAATAGCATGGAATTAAACCTTGTTCAGTGTATATGTTTTGTGGTCTTACGTGTTTTGTGCCTTCTTCAGTGTATATGTTTTGTGGTTTGTGGTTATAGCCTGTGGTTACAGCATTATTTTTAAAAGTGGTGCAAGTTATTTGAATAGTTGTATCTAGTAATAAAGTTAAGAAAAAATGGTGATAGGTGCCTTTCCTGCAGCTAAATTAGGTGAGTAATGAGGTATCCTTGCTGGGGATTCGTTAAAGAAAAATTAAGATGGAAGGCTCAAATGTGAACCTTTCTATTTGTAGGGGCTCTGTTGCTAAAACAAATAAGTAAGCCAATAGCAAATGTTGTAAAGAATCAAGCGAAGAGTAGTCCAATTTTTAGGAAATACGTGTGTATGCCACCAGCTCAGTGTAAGTGAACTTCATGTTTTATAATTACTGCATACTTATTCCAGGAGCATTTATAAATTTTGTTGATAACAACCTGTATATGCCGCAAATCATTCATTCATTGTACATTTTCTTAGAATTTCACCAAGTTCTTACATTGAGGGAAGATGTAAAAACGATCTAAGCACAACATACATACTTCAAAGAAATTCTACCAAAAGCTTAATTGTTTTGCAAAAATTAAACTGGACTAAAATGCAACAACCAGTAGCACATATAAAAGCTGACTAAGTAACAATTCACCTAACAAATGGTGCATTTATCCACTATTTGATCAATATTTAGTACCACACACCACCCCCAATACATGGTGTCCCAGAGTAACATGTCAATCTTTGATAAGCATATTTTTGTTTTTATTACAATTACACATAAAATTTTATAGAAGACAAATAAATGAAGAGCCTGTAGAAGGGTGGCTCTTGTGAGCAGATAAAAAAATAGAAAATACCTACATAATCAATGATGTAACAATAAAATATATGTGTGAACGATGGATTCTACTCATAGGATTTGGTATATCAGTGGGAGTGAAGTTTTCTGTCCTTATAATAAATCTCCTTTTGCTTTTTCAAACTCTGTATTTTACTAATTTAGGCCCGTATCATCAGTCGTCCCTACAATTGTAGGGCGCCTTTATGGCCTCCTTGATTGTCATAGTTTTCTACTTCTCTGTGTCAGAACTCTATTTTGAGGTTATGTCACAAACATCTATTTGCACCAAATTGTGCTTGCTTTTGAGTTATATCATGTTTTATCAGCCTGAAATTTCCTACAATTTAAAAAGAAAACATATGTTCACAATAGGAGAGCGCTGACATGGGACAAGTGTAATCTAGAAATTTTTTTTGTTGAAAATCAGGCTGTTAGTTTACAAGCAGGTATGTAAATAAGTGATAAGTGATAAAAAATGCTGTACTTAGATATTGTAACTTACCTTTCTTTAATAGGATATTTTCAATCTGAACTTTGGTGTTATTGTTAATATTTGTTACAGAAAATGGGCACCCGACTATAAGTTTTATAATTTTAGAGAAACATGTAAGATGTTCAGATTTCCCAAAGATCCTAAAACAAGGAATCGCTAGATAAAACTTACAAGGTAACATCACAAAGACCATAGTGGAATTATTAATATTTGTTGGGAACATAGGAAATGTATAATTTAATACAACAAAGTCTATACTTATATTGTTTCATTTGATTGCAGGAGAACAGTTCAACCAGGTCGTGGTGCAGACTCTTGTAGTTGTGATTTTGTGGATGGGGAAAAAGAAAATGGATCTACATTATTTGAGTATAATAGAGAGAAGCAATTAAATTTCCCATCACCAGAAAGAGGAACACATAAAAAGACAGCAGATCAATCTATTAATAGGGATGTAGATATAAGGTTAGTCCTACAATATCAATTTCATTCAAGTATCTGCAAATGTATTGTGTTCACAGATCTGAAAGTGAGCCACAGCCATCCACCTCAGTACAAACTGATGAACCTTGTGCAGGAAGTTCGATGTTGAATCCATTACTAGATGCTGGAAACTATCTTCAGCAAGATTTGGAGCAAGCTACAGAGAACCTTATGCATCTCGCTGATAGGTTTTCTTTTGATGTTGCGAAAGGAAATGACAGGCTAGTACTGCTGTATACTGGCTTACCCACAGAGAAAATATTTTTTTCTTTATTCAACCTGTTAAGGACATTGATATAGCATATTACTATAAATGGAAAGTAAAAAAAATGACAAAAATCAGTTATTCATAACTCTCATTAAGCTAAGACAAAATTTCCCTCATGATGATTTAGCTGTTCGCTTCAATGAATCACAGGGTGCAGTATCAAATGTTATAACAACATGAATACATTTACTTCATGAAATTATTTTCAAACAAATGATGACAAAAATTCCTTCAAGAAATAAAAACAAGCTTTGCCTGCCAAATTGTTTCAGTAGTTTTACAAACTGTAGGATAATCTTAGATTGTACTGAAGTATATACATCTGTATGTCGGTCAAGTATGGCAACACCAAATTAACATATGGCTCATACAAACACAGAAATACCTGCAAAGGGTTAGTTGGTGTAGCTCCAAATGGGGCAGTTACTTACATGTCTAGTTTGTATCCTGGTTCAAATTGTTAAGGATGGTGGAATACCTAATCACCTGGAAGCAGGAGATTTAGTATTGGCAGGTTTTTTAACAAAGCACTTAATGCCTTCTGGTGTTAATATCAACATTCCACCATTTCTTACAACATGTCAGTTCCTTGCTGAACAGGTAAGACAAACACGAGCTAGGATTCATGTTGAACATGCAATAAGAAAGATAAAAACGTTCACCATATGAGATTTTATTCCATATACTTTGTTGCCACAAGCAGATGCAGTAATTCAAGTTACAAGTGCTTTGACAAACCTACAGTATCCACTTATAAGAGAAGTTGAACAGTTTCATTCTAAAGGTGCCCATAAGCTGTTTTGCATAAAAGTTGATTATATATATATATATATATATATATATATTTACATCTCCACGTGGATAGGTCCTCCTTTCATAAACCAGCAATAAGTTACCTACCAGAAATACTGAATATATAAAATTTAATTCGTGAATATCCGATACCAAGACACATTGATCCAAGATCAGTTAAAAAAACTGTACATTAACATTTCGGATTTCCATACAAAGTCTGCTATATAGGTCTCCCTTTCAAAAACCGTATGATGTGTCCTCTACCGGAATACCCTCCAGATAACAAAGCGGCATTAGGTCCTCCAAAATACTCAAATTATCTAAACAAGATAATACAATTGAAGTCTCCTAACTCGGGCTTGTATTATTACCTTCCAAGGATCTAATGCTAAAAGGTTCATGCATCATTCGAATCGCCTTTCGCTAAGAAATGTTTAAACTTTTTTGTTATAGATAAAATAAAGAAAAAATGTCGATTTTGTGATAAAATTTACGTTTATAAACAGAATTCCCTTCATCTGATTGTTAAACCGTTGTTGCTTGAAAAATGAAGTAATTTTAAATTAAAGCTGACGAATGTCACTATTTATTTCTGGATCTTTAGTACGGTAGATCCCAAAGCTTCTGTTCTGGTATTAGTGGTTTTATTTTTCAACATTATACAGGGTGACTTTGAAGTTGAGTCATTAATTTTCAGATAATGATTGTAGAAGGAAGATAAACCAAAATATGTGTGTAAAAATAAAAAAAAAATGTTTACCTTGTTTTATAAAGTATCCTCCCGACAAGTATTTCAGTGCGGACCTGTATTTGATCGTGAGGTCCCCTGTGAGGTCTTAAGTCACCTGATTCACGAGCCCGTTGTACTACATTAACAAAGGCACGAGGGGTTGGTTGCACTCGATTGGGAAACCGATCCGCATAAACATGTGCCATTTTTTTTCGTTTGAGCCACACAACAGATACCACTATTCACTGACACTGACTGTATACAAATGAATGAAATAGTTGTAAAAACATCGTTCCAAATTCTTTCGCTTTTTTGTTTCCGATGCGATGAACCGATACGGCGGATTATATCCGTTGTCGCCAAACAAGAGCACATAATATTATTATTGAGACAGGGCGGTACTCAAACTTC